TAATAGTAACACCAAGCAGTTTTCCAAATTCCATTGAAATTACCTGCTTCAGCTGATTTCAAATAATTTTTAAACGCTTTTTTTTTATCTTTTTTAACTCCAATTCCTAAATTATAACAATATCCAACTTTATAAATTCCGTTGGAATTATTCAGGCCTGCGGATTTTTGGTAATAACGGAATGCTTCGTTTTCATTCTTTTCAACTCCTATTCCAAATTCGTAACAATAACCAAGCCAGCAATACATTCCGTCTCGATCATATTCGTAATAATATCTAAGCAAATAGTAAATTCCGTCTGGATTGTTTGTATTATCTGCCAATTTTTTGAGCTTATTGAAATTTGGTTGTTTAAAATCGTTGCTAATTTTTTGTCCCATTTTGTTTTATTAAAAAAAAAAATGGAAAAAATGCAACAAACGTACGTACCAACGATTTTATTTGCAGTAGCGGTTGTACAATTGTACTGGTGCACTTCTGCACAGAATTCGTCTTATAGATGAGACAAACTATGAATAGCCGCGCAATTTGGCAATATTGCATGCATGCGCATGCTATATGATATGCAAAAAAAAATTATGTACTGTAGTGCAAATTGAACAAAAAACAATCATTCCACGCCGTCAATAGAAAAAAAAATAATAATATAATCTTTTGTTATAGTGAACCTCTTGTTATAATAAATCTCTTGTTAAAAAATTAATTAGGGTTAGGGTTAGAACTAAGGTTTGGGTTAGGATAGAGTTAATATATACCAAGATTTTGCGAAGAATTTTTTTTGTTAGAACACAAAAGGTGGTTTCATAGACAGAATTTTGAGATATTACAAAATATCTCATTTTTGTTATACAAAATTTATTTACGCGTCATGCATGATCTTCAAATTTAATTGGTCAGGCGATACATAACTATAACGCAGGGGTGCGAAGTCTAGGAAACTCCTTTTTATATAATTAAATTTTAAATTTACTAATTCTATTAAAAAAATTGTTAATAAATTTAGTATTTATGGTGTACTACACGTTAGTACATTTTAAGCAACAAAAAATAGCAGTTACAAAAAATGTTTTTAATAAGTTTATTATTAATACTAAAAAAAATTTTGCCATACTATACTATAATATTTATCAGATTTTTGTATATAAAAATTATTTATATATATAATTTTGTAGATTTTATCTTATTTTTCTAACTGTACTAACAGTAGTCTTTTAGCCTAAATCCTATCCATTAAATTTAAAATTTATTTTATTATACCTGGATGAGCATATACTTGCTCGCCTTCAAATATCGTTTATTCAATTCGTTGGTAAATAAAATATTTGCAAGTTTTTTGATTGAGCATAACAAGGCATTGAATCAAATGCATTGGGTCATTTAATTTCTCGAATTCAATTCCTCCCACAGGAACAAATCTATGAGCAAGACTACTAAGATTAACTATACGTGCTGGTTGCGAGGCTTTAATTTTTGGCAATAATAATTTGGTGAAAAGCTATCAATACAAAAGAGTTTTGTTATTATAAATTTTTATTTTAATAATGTAATAATTTATTTGTTAGTTTATTTGTTTACTTACAAAATGACCTGACATGATTTACTCCAAATTCTTCTTGAATACCATCATCAGTAAGCGAAAATGCACTATTTTATTATATTCATAATTTACTCGAATATTATTATAGTTACAAGTGAAACTACAAGTGAAAAAATAACATTGTTGCTTACTTTGTAGTGATCCCGCGTTGTTAATTCTGATAAAAATGATCAATCAATTAGGATAAATTTGTAACTTCTAACTATTATATAATAATCATAAATAATAGAACTTACAGAATGTGCAATGGTAAATTTCTAGCCAAAAATTTTTTGGCTCATTCTTTAACAGATTTCAAGCTTTTTAGAACCAACTGAAAAAATTCAACATTTCGATTACCGGTCTCGGATTTGATTTTTTCAACGGCTGTCTGACTTCTCTCGATATTACAACTTAATACGAGCACATGTGCATTTTTTTTGCCCAATTCTCTGATGTAATATATCCTATCCAAGCATTTCCTCCCGTAACGACCGCAACCTAGTTATACACGTAATAGATAGTTAAAAAAATTTAATAGGACGATATGTTATATATTTTAATTAAACGAATGATAATAATGTAATTACTTTTCCAGTCAAGTCGAGAATGTTATCAAAAGTAAAATGCTTTTTTTCAAAAGGTTTAACATTTGTATCTGAATCTGCCATTTTTTTGAGAAATCAATCGAGTATAAAGAAGGCACATTTATAAGTTTTTTCGCTTCATGGGTAATACAGTTTGTAATACAACTTCGGATATAATATGTTCTATATTGGCACACGGAAATAATTATAAATAGAAATTCTAGACAACGAACTTGAGATTAGTAATCAGAGAATAAACTTGGAATTAGTAATCAGAATGAACGAGCTTGGAATTAGTAGTCAGAAAGAGTGAACTTGAAATTAGTAATTATAGAGATGATGGTAACGATAACGCGAATTACAAAATCAAGATAAAACAAATTCAGAAATTGATAGTAAAAGAAGAAAAGATAGAAGTAAATAAATTATCGTATTTGCTCGAAATAATGCCCCAGAGCATTAATCGAGGCATGCAATCTAAAGAGGGTTAACAATTACCGTAATTGATTACATTACAAAATCCGAATCTGTTACATTCCATCATATCATTTTTAGAATCTCTAATAAACCAATGAGCCTATTGCATGAAACTTTAGTTTTTATACGGTGGATCTAGTATTAAGCAATATATGATGATTTGATTTATGTTGTAAACACACGGATCTCTTACGTTTCACCAATATCTTGGCCTATACAGACCGGGTCTAATTCATATTATATGAGATCTGGTATATGATCAATCACGGTAATTTAGGTAATTTAACCGAATACGAACCATAATCCTATTTCTAAAAAATCTTCGGCTAAATTAATTATGTGTTCACTTCAATTTGCATGCCTCAAAATAACGCCTGGTGCGTCATTTCGCGCAAATACGGTAAATGAAAATTATGCAAAATAAAAGTAACGTTCTCCCATCAACATTAATATCGGAAATAAATTATCATATTGGCTAATTTAATATTTTTCTCTCAACCTTAAAGATGACAAATTAACTGACGTATCTTTCTATAAAGTTAGAGTAAATGTTCTAAAACATTCGATGGTTAAATTATAAATCTCGCGTATGCACATGCAATAATGCTTAAAAAGGCTAGTTCATTTCATTGAGATCTACATCGCACAAATTCGGTTCCTGTTTATACAAATTTGGTTTATAGCGTAAATATTTTGTTTTATTGGTCAATTTAGTGAATTTATCTTAGAAAATTTATTAATCCCTAAACACGGGTATAATTACATATTCGCGTAACATCAAACCAATTTTTACAAACGAAAAATTAAACCCTCGCTTATGGTTAGGATAAAGGCGGGTTTGGGATTGGGCAAGGCATAGTTTATACCACAATTTCGCAAGGAATTTTTTTTTTATTCCAAAAGGTGATTTCATAATCAAAATTTTGAGATATCTATATTGCCCGTGTACGTACACCCCGTGTACAAATAGAAATTGCCTTTATCTTATACGAACTTTAAACCATTTGCCAATTACGTCTATTGTATCACTATAGTTTTTGAATTAAAGAATCAGACTAGCTATAACTAATAAAAGAATAGTGGTAAAATGATTGGCGCACGAATAAGGGCCATCACATCCCTTGTCAGACCAGCTTTGCTCACCCACCCTAGATACAGTAGACCCACCTAGTATCGTCACCAAAATCAGTTACATACATATGGGGCTTAAATTTATTTGCCGACATTAAAGTTGACGAATAATTCAATAATGACGACATTGATAAATAATAATATATTAAAGGATAATAACACTTTACGTTTGAAATTCTTTATTTCTTTGAATGTCGTAATGTTACAAAACTTTGCTCATCTTGCCGAATTACGAAACCAAATATTGCGTTTCAAATTAATAATAAATCATGTATTGAATGTACAAGCCGTGTAAATAAAAGCAAAAATGGAAATATGAGGATCGAATTTTAGATGATATTCGCAAGCAAAAAAAATGCTATAAATCCTAAGAGCTTGGATACATGAAAAATTTTCGGATGCTGAAGGAGAAAGCAATATGTATATGGTATACTAAAAGGATTACTTATACCAGAGCAAAGTGAATGTTTAGTAGTAGCAAAAATAGTACTAGCGATATCGCGACGACCACATAATTAAGTCTGACCAAAATTGGTGGATTTTAATTCTATATATCTATAGAATTAAAATAAACCAATTTTGGTCAGATTTGGATATGTGGTTGTCGTGATATCGATAGTGCTATTTTGCTATTACTTAAATCCACTGGCCCAGTCACGTATGGTCATTTCCTTACTGAAAAATTATTACCAGTACAGTTGCAATTACTCCGGCATGAACGAATATTGAATAAAATTGACTACACGTTGATTAAAATATGCAGAAGTATTTAAACAATCATTAATTGTACATGTTCTTATTTTTTAAAACCTAAATTCTTATTACGTACATCATTTTCCGGAAGGTTTATCATTATATTATGGTTTAAAAATTTCTAAATCTTACATTATATTAATTTAGTTACAACGAAATTCTTAATCTTCTTTTGTTACGGAAGCTAAAGAAACTTATGGGAAAATATTCAAACGTCCCTTAATTGATTACACACAAGTCAATTTAATGATTGATCTGCTAAATTCAGAAAACCAAAATATAAATTATGAGGAATCGAGTACCGAAGATAATGAATCCGAATCTGAAATTTTAAGTACAGAAAAACTCTATATGAGGTACAAAAAATTTTTTTATCATTATATTTCCGTGTTTAGAATCGAACTTTAAATCTATTTAAAAAATGGCAGATGACATTAAAGATTTAGAACGAACAAAAAAACCTGGAATGAACATAACAAAAACACCTTAAATTTAAATTTAAGCTTTATATATGCATTAAATAGCATTTGAATTTGGATATAAATGCATTTTATACATTCGAATTGAATGTAATTTGACTTAAAATTTGTACGTAACTGATTTTGGTGGTGATACTAGGTGCGTTTTGAGTTATTATCTTGTTACAATAACTTACTAAATATATTGAAATGATGTTTGAGAAGATTTTAATTGTCATAAATTGCATATTTGAATTTTTGACAAAAATTTTATGTAAATATAATTATGATTGAGCACAAATACTAATCATATTGAAGTTGACACTTGAGAGCACCAAAGAACCGTCAACATTGGGTGGCCGATCATCCAATAGAATCAAACATATATCTAGTCTCAATGTTTTTGTATAATGATAGATTTTTGATCAAAAAATATGGCGCAGTTTTTATATTAAAAGGTTAATAAATTCATTTGGATATTTAATGCTTAATAATAATACTTTTGTTTTGATTTTAACATCTTTCACTCTTTAATGCATTCTTAACAACTCTATGTTTTTAGATTTTACATACCAAAGTGAAATTTTCAATTAAAAAATAAATTTAAAACTGATACATATATAATCTAATACTTTTTTTAAAAAATGTATATTATAAAATTTTGCAAGACTAATATAAAGTATAATTATTTCAACATAGCTTTGTAAAAGAAGTGTTATGACTTCTTCTTACCAAGTTTGGTGTCAATTCATCAAACAATTAAGGCTGAATAACTATTTAAATCTTTTAGAATGTCTTGCTTCGAATAAAGCTTACTAAATACTGTTATACATTGAAATGAGCATCATGTGCCTTATCTAGTGATATTATCCTGCTCCAACCAGTTAGTTTGTGCTTAAAAACCTGATTGAACACTGTTTGGAGTATTTACAAAAAACTGATTTTTGAACTTAGTTTATATCAATATAACTAGAGGATGCAAATGTGGGTGGCTTTGCCACCCGGTATGTATTATTTCTTGTCGGGGATGATGCTGAAATCAGATGATGCTGAAATTTAGAGGCCTTAATTTGAAAATATAAATCCTACTAAAAT